TAGCTCAGCATTTGTATAGAACCATTGTACTTCAGTTGCATACAACGTCTGAGTTTATCCTAACAAAGCAACTTTTATTTGATTGTGCACATTATAGAAAGCCCTTTATGACTGTGTCACATGACAGTTATGTAAGACCTACCACAAAAATTCTGCTCTATCACAAGAATCTGTATAATGAACTGCTACTACTAGCTTCTAGCATTCCTTTAAAAAAACAACACACACACAGTGAAGTCATGATACCATGAACAGCAAGAATACTGCTGTATGCACAGATGTTTAAATTAATAAGCTCAGAAGGATGGATAGATGACTCAGTGATTTACTTTCTACTTAAAATCTACATGAAGTGTTCTTGAGAATGTCACCAAGGCAGAAGATATATACACTCCTGTACCAATTAAAATTTTTCAGATTCTGGTTTACGGCAAACAAATCACAATCTACATAATAGTAGCTGAACCAGCATGATTGTCAACAGTTTCAGTAAACCAGAAGCCTTCAAGTAACATTCAGTTCCCAGTGAATATTCAAATGGTAATGATACAAGAATTTGTTGACTTTTGTTCTGCCTACTCCTGTTAATGGAAAAAGACCCCTGTTTGCCTCCTTTTCTTGACACTTCCACTTTCAAAGGCTTTCAGCTTTTCAGACTTAGAGAGCAATCCTGAGTGGGTCTACTCTTCAGTGGCACTTACTCCCAGGAACGTGTTCTTAAGATTGCACTGTACGCTACCATAGAACCACAATGTCTCAGAGACACCAAGACAGAACAGACTCTTGACTTCCATGATGGACTGAGCCACAGACTAAATATGAAACAAATTCAAATTCACCTTTCCCCAGTTCTTTTACATGTGGTTAGATAGAAGTTCCAATAGGAGGGGATCACAGTGAAAATGAGGTTTGATTAATCTGTTAGAGTAAAAGCTTCTTTCTTTTTAGGGACCACTGGCAGTGAGTGTTGGGGACAAGGTGGTACTAGATTTTGGGGCTACCAGAGGCCTAGTGAAAAAACAAATAGATTGTACTCCTAGTAAGAATTCTTTGTGAATCATATACTACCAAAAGCAATGACTGGCAGCACTGAGCTTCAGAGGATTAGTCACAATTCTCAAACACATCACTCCTGCATGCTACTACAAAAATGGGTGAAATTGCTTTGAAATGCTGAAGTAAACAAAGCCTAGTGTTATTTTTCCCTGCATGGAAAGCAGGAAGCCTCCACATTTAAGAGTAACATCCACATGACTCCTGCTCATTCAAAGCATGACTCACAGCATTTCAGGAGCTTACTCCTTCAAAAAGATTTTAAATTCTACCTGTTTTAATCTGGTTCAAAGGGAAATTAATGAAGTGGCTACAGGGAGTGTCTACATACATATTCCCTTTGTTGCAACTATGGGTGTGTTATTTATCGTATGGCAAAATTACACACAGGAAAAATAATAATATAAAATACATAACCGAGTTGATACAATGAGTATACAGACAGATCAAACCATCACACTAAATACTAATATCTAAATTTTCGAACCACTCAATTGCAGCTGGGGAAAGTTCAAAGAACTCCATCACATCTCCCTGGAAAGCATGTCACTCACATTCCTGTGACAGCTGAAAAATAGCCCTGCAATCCCATTCGGGCCCTGGTATTTTCCCCCATTTAAAGAACAGTTCTGCACATCTGCCATAACCTGTTCGTATTCTGTTAGCCATCTTCCATACTGTATGTGACAAGTCAAATCCTGTGGGCCTCTCACTGATGTTTATCAACCTGTTATCAATTATCTTTCTATATTTACAAAAAACAGCATCCTGTCTTCGGAGGTGTGGGAGAGCAATGTGGAGAACAACACAGATAGCCAGTAGGTTGGAGTGGATTTAATACATCCACTGATGGATCTCATTGTTGTATTAAACTCTACCTTCAAAATGCTCCACCATCCCCACTTTTTCAGACCTTTTCCTGCTCTTCCTGCCAAGCTACACTGTACTGCTACAGTGCGGCTCAGCAGTGAAAGGGAAAGTGACATAAAGAAGGGGTTTCACAGCTGTGAGGAGCTCCATTGCAACTGCCTTTTTGTACAGGTGCCACAGGGACAAACAGAAGGAGTGGGTAGGAGGGCGCTCAGGAGTAAAAGGAACAGGAAACCATGAGTGTATACACCATCCCCACACCAGAAGCAACATGTTTTAGACACCCCCGTGTTAATGCAGCCAAATTTGAGTCAGCAGTTTATTAGACTTGTGGGGAAACTAAACAAGGGTTGCGGTCACACACACTAAATAATCCACTTTCAATGCACTTTCCAACTGGATTTTGTCAGTTCACACAGTAAAATCCAGTTGGAAACTGTACTGAAAGTGGATTATTTAGTGTGTGTGACTGCAGCCCTAGGCATGAATAAGTTTGAGAGGTGTGAAAAGGCGAGCATATTTCTGAAAAGGAGGAACAAACATAAAATGAATATCAGCTCTGAAGCTATATATCCAGTTTCCTCGCAAAAATTCCACTCTTTTCTGCATAGAAGTTGCTGGAAGTTATGTAAGACAAAGGATGATACCATTTAATTATGCAAATGGTATACCTTTCCACAAAAGTGGAAAGCACAAAGTGAGCCTCTAGGTCTGATTCTCGTATATTCAAAGTTTATTTAATTAGAAGAAAAGTAGGGCTGATAAATCATGCCTTGGGAACACAGAGTATAAGCAAAGACAGCAATTATTTGCAAGGGCTGAACTACCAACACTGATGAGAATTTTGTACACAAGGATTGTACTTAATGTCATAGTGTGGGAAGTGGGGAAATGAAAAGTTATTTGGTACCTGGTTCCTGAAAGCATCTGAAATGTCCCACATAGGTGAAAATGGGTTTATTGTTAAAAGCAACAGTATCGAAGCTGATGTTTCTGACTTCCCAATCAGAAGAAAGTTTCCCTCAGCACATTCTTTTTTATGGTCAACATCCTTGTGATAGCGAAGGTGTTTTCTCGCTGTTCTTTCTCAGTACCCCAAGCAACCTTTGTGTATAATAACTGAAGGACACTGATTAGAAGCTAGAATGCATTTGTTTTAACATGAAAGAAAGCTGTTTAGGAGTGGAAAATTTATGCTTTTACAACATGCTATTGTAGAAGAACTGCACCTGGCATCTCAGAATGCTAAATTTATGTTTAGAACAGAGGCTCCTCCGTTGGGGCAACCCCCTCCGCAAGTGTCATAAATTGCACCTCTTATGATCATGGGTGCCAGAAGGGTCCTTGAGTTCTTCCAGAAGGGAGTCTTTGTGCCTTTTATTATATAAATAATTGATCAATGAATGCAAGTGAATGTAATTAGACCCCAGATAAGGGGGTCTCCAATGAGATTGTATCAACATATGATGCCGTTATATTTGTGAACCAATGACATTTTTCTTTGAATGTAAACCTGTACATATCATTTAAGGTTTAAAATAGCTACCCTTCCTGGCTTAAGTAGGGAGACAGCTTGGCACATGGGCGCTCTTGCATCACGTTCTGTATCTCCTATTAATGCATTAATAAAAACAACCAGTTATCCAACTCAATGGACTCTGACTATGTGTTCCCCCATCAGGCCCCGGGGACTCATGGGGCACATATTTGTGCAACAAGAGACAAGCGGAAATGACACCAATATATATATGTGTGTAACCTCTCTGCCAAGACCTCCAAAGTAACATAACTCTAAAACAAATACCAAATCATACAGCGCCCCATCATAATAAACACAAAAGAATGAAACACAACATCAAAACATAAACTAAGTACAAGAAAACAATACAAATCAAACGAAACAAGGAGGCTACACAACATTTACCTACTGGGAGCAGGGTTTATGGGTTTTTTAACAAATGATTTCTTTAACAAGCAAACCAGCAAAGGTGGGGGGGGGGGGTGCCTTTGCAATGATTGCTACAGAACAGGTGCATCTGCGGAGACAGTTCTACTACTAGTTACTTATTGTCTTTGAGAATAGGATGCTGTACCTAGAGCACGGCCTCACCAAAAGGTTTGTCTAGCTGGAGATGCCAGGGATCGAACCTAGGACTTTCTGCATGCAAAGCAGATGCTAAGCCTAAGCCCCATCCACAAGAAATGCATGGCTCTTACTTCCTTTTACCCTCACAACAGCCCTGAGAGTTAGGTTAGGCTGACACCAGTATATTTCAGAACTGATTGGGGATCTGAACCTGAGTAGGCTCACTCTAACCATAGACAACCCCAGCATTCTTGCTCTAGAAGAGCATGGAGGAACGTTTGTAAAAAGGCTTCCCTAAAACCATGTTGGTCTTTGAAGCATCCTCCTTATATTGTTGCCAGGCAGCTCAGGAACCATACATGGGTCTGCCCCCCCCCTTCTCATCCACACAACAGCTCTCTAAGGTATCACAGGACTACCCCAAGGTCACCCAGGGGAGCTTCACAGCTGAGTGGAGAGCCGATTTGCTCCAGCCCAACACTCCAAGCAGCAGTACCGTGTGTTACACCCACTGCCACCTATACACGTTCCGAAAGAAAGAAAGAAAGAAAGAAAGAAAGAAAGAAAGAAAGAAAGAAAGAAAGAAAGAAAGAAAGAAAGAAAGAAAGAAAGAAAGAAAGAAAGAGCAGCAGATAGGACTATCCAAAACCTAAGTAGTCCACTTCTATATGCAGACATGCATAGAGGGAGGCTGGAGCAAAGACTCTAAAGCGGGTATTGAAGGAGATGAGAAAAGTTTCCTACTCTCCCTTTATAAGTTACCTTAAAGGGGATTGTTGCCCCCCCCCTTCCTTTCCTGGCACATCGCCATCCCCTGCTACGGGGGCACCCTCTGCTAAGAAGCGGCAGCCGCCGCCACCGCGAGCTGTTAGTCCGTAGGAGAAAGAGGAAGGAGGCCAACGCCGGCCACTTTCACCAGCCCTCCTGGCCGGGGTGTGGCGGGCGAGAAGCGGCAGGCAGCGAAGGAGCCCCGCTCCTCCCGGCTCCTTACCTGCAGCGCCGGCGCCTCCCGCTCACATTCCGGCCGCCCCAAAAGGGACCGCGGTCGGCGCGGCGACGAAGAGAGGAGGCGGGTGAGGGGGAGCCGGGGAAGAGGAAGGCCCTTCGCAAGCACGCGCCGTCGCCATGGAGAGGCCCCCTCGGGTGGCTCGGCTGCTTCCTCTTTTCTTTCTCTCTCCCCCCCGGACGTCGCTCGCCCTCCTCTCCGACACAGCCACCTGCTCCCACTGCGCCGAGTCCCCACGCCGAGCTGGGCTCTGGGCGGAAAAGGCGGGGCGAGGGAGGGCGGAAGCACGGAAGCCCTCTCCTCAGGCAAATCACATAATCGGGGAGGGCGGACTAAACCCAGTCGCCTGGAGGAGGCTGAAGTTGTTTCTGTATTCACAGTTCCTTATTTGCATCTTATTCATGCGTTCATCCAAAAACACTGAGGAGAGTTTGAAATCTCTGAACCCCAAAATAAGATTTGGACCCCCAAACTTCATACACCCCCCCCCCCATGTTCAGCGAACTCTCCCCTTCCAGGGGACATATGCTGTGTCCTGGTCCAAAGTGTAGTTCTTGTGCCAACTGCTCCAAAGTGAGGTGCCCCCAGGACTATCACACAGGCAGATACTGGGGCCAAGCTGTACCCCAAAACAATCTTTGGACCACCCCCAAAAGACTCATCCCCATGTTCTGGAGACTGTCCCCTGCAAGATGACATACAGTGATGCCCAGTCCAAGCATGGACGGCGGGGC